TCTAGAGCCAGAACATATATTAATTCTAGCTCGAGTATTATACTAAAAAATAAAATACAATGCCCAATTATTAGCCTAAATCGCCACAACTCGAAGCTATAAATTTTTTTTGTTATATCTTTTGTATTAATAAAATTCAAATCAATGACTCAAATACCCATACATAGCTTCGTACTCTCTTTCCCAGTATAGGAGGAAAAAGCATAATTAATTTTAATTTGAAAAAATATATTTCGTAGTATATATAACCTAAAGAAGTGCTTATAACATACTATAACATTAGACCATGTTAGCTATTACAACTAAAATCGTTGAAAAATATATCCTTACTCCGAGAATAAGCAACTCTGAACTTAGCCAATATATCTCAGAATTTCTTGAGAACCTTACTAATGATAGAAAGCGGAATCAGGCTCGACGACGTCTTCAGGATAGTTTTAAATTTAGCAGTGAACAGGTGGGTGTATTGATATCTAATCAGAGAAGTGGGAAAAATAAAACTATAAATTTGGTTGAAAGTAATTGTAGAATAGCTATAACCAAGCCCCCAAAAAGTTTGGAAGAAGAGATCATTAAAGAGAAAGCAAAACGAATCTTGCAAAATAGATATGGGTTTAGTAAAGATCAAGTAAACGCCTTATTCACAACCCAGAAAAATAGACAATGTAAAAGTATTTCTGGCAAAACCTTAAATATTGTAATCGCCAATCAACTCTCTAAAGGAATGAAGGAAGAAACTATTAGAGATATGGCGCAATAGATTTTACGGGATAAACTTAATATTAGAGATATAAGAGCCAAAGCTTATGCCTTAGCCCTATCAGCAAAAAATGCTAATGCTGGCTCATCACATCTCACTCGTCTTCTAGAGAATTAAAGAACCTTAATGTATCACTTGAGATAATCGAGGCTACAAAATTTCCAGATATTACAGAAGATGCCAACAAAATCCAGAGTGTTAATCGGAAAAGGCTAAAACTAAATGTATCAATTATCCAGATAAATTTACATTAGAATCAGTCAAAGAAAGATTAGATGCGTATGATATTAAAACTTTACCTGATTATCAGGCTTTTGCTGATGTTATGGTGATGCTTTGTATTCGTCCTGCTGAACTTAAAACTTTACACATTACAGATACTGGAGTGACAGGTTATGTGAAGAACCGAGGTCAGCCAAATATTCCTAGAAAATTTAGATCTATGGAAAAAAATCAAGAACAAGCCAAAGAACTACTCACTTGGATTCAGCGTGCTATATCATCTGGACAAATAGGTGATTCAGGTAAGCCAGAAGTTAAATGGTTTAATAAATTCTTAAAAGATTATGATTTAATTCCTAAATATTTACATAAATTAGAAGCAGTTTACGATGCAGTAATACATAAAGCTGAGAATCTAGCCCACGCCTATACTATTGCTAAAGAATGTCTATATCATAATGCAGATAACCATACTTCTCCAGTACAAAACTACATCATGGTAAACTACAGAAAGCAGGGACAAAAGCCTGAAGAAGTGAGACCATTCCATCTCTATGATGATAATAACTAATCACGCTTCTTTGCTTTTACCACTTTCATAGTAAAATCTTTATTATCATTGCCGGAGGTAGTCACTTCGTAGCTAGACGATTCAAAGTCAGACCCAGACCCAGATGAAGATGAAAATGAAGACGAGGATTCGGATGCGGTGTCATTTAAAAATCTCTTTTTTCTTTTAGCCTTAGATGGTATACGATTTCTTCGAAAAATATCTGGATTTGCTATTAAGTTAATAATCTCTAGCCCAATCTCGGGTTTCACTATTTCCAGTAATTGGTGAAGAGAAATCTAGATTTTTTTTACCCGATACTTGCCTAACAATACTGGAAACTATAATATTATTCATATCATCTATTTTTAAACCCATCTTCTTTGCTTTTCTACAGGTGATAACTAGACATTGTCCACCTGAATCGAGTATATTTTCTATATCTTTGCCATTGATATTAACCACATGTAATTTTAATTGCCTTTATGTAAGGTTGGCCAATTCTTCATCATAGTCGATTTCAATAATGAGGCTAGTGCCTTGGCACATATTTTTTGAACTATCTCTGCTATTGTTATTACCCTCAGTTATTGTAAATGTTAAATTATTATTAATATGAAGTAAAAAATATATTATATATATTTATTTATGAAAATAAACAATGCGAGAATCATATCTGAGCTCTCCAGTTTCAGAACCTGAAAAAACTAAAAATATTCTACTTGTTGTTTCAGGAATTGCTCTATTTTTGGATTTCGCCAGCCTATTAATATTCATCGAGAAAATTTCCATTTACTTAATCATTGGTGTCATGTTTTATTTTTCACATATCAAAGCAAGACTACCCTTGGTAATGATATTATCTCGGCTTTTTTTCTAGCAGATTCCAGTTGTTTTAAGGGCTTGGGGTACGTATAAGTGGTACATTCATACAAGAAGTATAAAACCCTATCACTTTTCTCATCTACCTCAAAAATCGCTTCCCAAAAATTAATCAATTTCTTAATCATAAATACACCCACTTCTGTATCAGATATTCTTAACCAAATTCCTAATTCATGTTGCATCTGCCAAGAACCAATTAAAAAACCAGTCGCTGTCTTGGAATGTGATCATATCTTACATTTCAACTGTGCTATTGAATTTTTTGCAATTGGTAAAAATATTACTTGCCCTGTTAAAAATTGCCAAAATCGAATTAAAAATATAGAAGCAGTTGAAAAGGATATCGGTGATCTTGCAGAAGCTTTAAAACCTGGAAATACTCCTAAAGTTAGATCTTTTCTTCGAGAAATTTCTAAAGATTTACCCTATTCTGACGCATCATCTGAAATAGAAGAAATACCTCCCTTGACTGCACAGGGATTTCTCCTCTTATACGTAAATATAGATCAAGCTAAAGAATTACTTGCTCGCTTAGAGAGAAATGTGGTTCATGCGAAAAAAGAAGTCGTCTTGTCTTATTATCAGTTCGGGAAAGCAGATGCAGAAAAACTTAAAGAGTTACTAAAGATATCAATCCCCCTACACACGGCACAGAGTAAGATAGTTGCTGAAATTAAGAAATTACTTCCCAGTGGTACTTCTATTAATGTTATAAAGAGAAGAATTGCTACAGCTCGAAAGATTTATGATATATTCAGCACAATTGGTGAGGATAAGATCCAACGAATCAGAAATTTCAGCGCATCAAGTATTGGAGCTTTCAAAAAAGACAAAATTGAGTTTATTAAAACCGGTGACAATAAACCTAAATTTAGAGAAAAAGGGAAAGTTCGAATAGTAATACACAGAATATATGGACAGACTTCGATGTTAATCCTGATACAAATTCTTTGAAGTCAAATTATACAACTGATCTATTAGATGATACAGAGATGATATTAGACGAATTTTGATTTTCCAATAATGTTTTTCATGTCACATGACATCGTGTAGTTTTGGCTCAACATCATATGATCTAGTGTCAAAAATAATAAAGATAGTGATTGATATTTTTTCAAGTACTCGTAATTTTTATTAACCAATCTTTTGGC